TGAGCTGCGCACGCGTCGACTTTGATCACGTTACTGTTAAATGTTGCCATTCCCGATGAACAGACCTGAAAAACGATAAACGCGAACACTACTTTCTTAATCGTTTATTTCTACGTGATATAATTACGTCGTGAAAATTTTTTATTTCACGTGTAGTTATTATTTCGCCACGCTCTGTTGCTTAGACGCTCCTTTTTTCTATTTATAGGTACAGTAATGTTTTTAAAAGTAGAATAAAATCATGCTCTATTATATCCTTAAACATGAAACTTCACATTTTGAAGTCATTTTTCTGAAACTGTTGATCAAATTTTTCCTATACTTTCTTTATTTCTATCTAATATATACATATATATATTTAAAAAAAAATATTTTTATAAACTGCAAATTTTAAGGATATGGAATAACGGAAACAGTGTACACAGGTATCTGACGACATCGTTGAACGTCCAATGAAATGCAATCAGTTGTACTCGGCAAATATTTGATCAATTTTTCGACGAATATTTCTATATGTGAATTTATTGAACTCTTTTTTTTGTTCGCTGTTCTTTCCCAAAATTTTTTCATTTTCTACGCATGATTCCACGCAAAACATCCCGATTTCGTCAATTTCACTTCAACAAGAACAGTTCACGGTTTCAAAAGTGTCCTGTCTAATCCTGCTTCAATGTATTTTAACAAAAAATAAACAATAACTAACAATATTGCACAAATACAATATAAGGCTGGTAGACCAGAGTGTAAGCGAGAACTTTTGAAAGTTTTCATGTCAGGTGTCTATTTCTATTTATTTAACCCCAGTGTTCCTATGGCCGGGTCACCAGTGACCCGTCGAAGAACACAATCATTGAACTCTCTAATCTGCAATCATGCGAATTTTGCTGGAAATAAAATATTTTTATGAGTCACGATTGACCCTGTCATCGTGTCCACCGTTCCAGATTCGTTAAAAATTCGTCAGATTTTCCTCCAGATTAAAAGTACAATACGCAGAGCGAGCAGCCAGTCTCGAGTGGCGCAAAGAACACTAGAATTCGCGTGTACAAAGGGCGTGCTCGCCCTTTATTCCATGGGATTCCCTTTATTCCACGATCATTGTAATTGCGACTAATCGAGTCACCGTCGAACTCGACTCCCGCCCTTGACTCTTTTCCCTTTGACGCCCACTGGTCCCGATGATCATTGCTCTACGATTCTGTATAATTTCACCACATGGAATCAGAATTCTACGGAACACAGCGGCCAAACGATATCTCTGCATGGGAGCACAAGTGAGACTCTACATGACTTAGCGTTCAGTCGAGATTTTGGGAAACAAAGAAGCAGATTAACGGAATTCTGGGTTAGATGACACCTGAGAGTTTACTTGAGGGGGAGGAACTTTGAGGTAGATGAGGTAGGTGTCAATGATAGAGGTCCAAAATGTGAGCTATCCCTATGTGGGCAATTAAGGGTCTAGACAATTAGAAGTCTACGCAAGTTTTGTCGGGAGAAGTGAATTTCTAAGCAATTTGGGTTGGGGCTGAGCATCAAGGACTATTTAACAATTTACAGTAAACATTTTGGGGGAAATGTCAGTCTCCAATAGGTATTGGGATCTTGAAGCAATTATTATTGAATAATATAGTATTAACATAGGAAAATTGTACTATTGTATAACAAACTATTAGTATTGAATGGACAGATGTAAAACAAGAAAGTAGATATTGAATACAGTTTGAGCATTAATACTCTCTCATATTATCCACAATAAACAATAGGGGTATTAAATGTCTTTACGTCGATCAATGCAAGTGGCATTGCAATTCTGGTTAATTAAACTGTAACGGACAGAAATCTTAACAACTGCATAGTAGGTCATCCAAACGCCAAACAATCCAACAACAGACTCTCGAAATTCCAAGCACTTCGATCGTCAATAATCTGCATCACGTGGGAGCAGAGAAGTGGCCTCGAGTCGATCTTCAGAGGATCAGGAAAATAGGATTTTCTCAAGAAAAGCTTTCACGATCTGTCCTTCTAATATCAAGTTAACGCGGCCACTACCACCACGGTGTTTTAATTATGAAACCTTAGAATCAGATATTGAGAAAATAACAAATTGGCCTGAAGTTTGTGAAACTCCATCAGATTCACAAAACATGAACATTGTAGATCTTGAATTAGGTACTTCACAGTTTCCTTTAAACAATGCTCACATATATTGATGTACGTACTTTTCCACTTTATTTAACAAAAGAAAGCAGCAAACATTTTTCATAAAAAATGAAATAAAAAATCTGGTAGGATAATCAAAGCGTTAATAAATTGGTAGGATTCACCAAGCACGTCCTAATACCTCTAAAAATGAAACCAATCTGCATAAAATAATGGCTTTTTCTTTCCAAACACAGTATATTGCAATATCTCGAAACTTTTAACATCGTTCAAAAACTTTTTTATCAAAAAGCAACACTTGATTTCGTCAGAATTTAACATTCCGCTAGATTCAAGCACTGTTTCCTCTTCAAATATCATTCCAACGGGAATGAAGCGTTTGCAAACGAAAAGCGTGGATTAAAATTACAGCCTGTTGCAGAGAAAGGGGACGGGTGGGGTAAACAAAGTTATGGTGCCCGCCTCGTGGTCGATACTGGCAGTTTAAGGCCGCCGTTTGAGACAGTTTCCGGCGGAAGTTTCCGTGGAGCACACATAATGTCCTGCGCGTGTAATGGAACTGATGCTTTCCGTGGGCAGGCGGTATCGGTGCTTTATTACGTGATAGCGCGACAGCGCACTTATTTTCATCCGACGTTACCCATTAGTTGAGAATCTAATTACAGGGAACACGGTGTCTCACGTAAACTTGGCTGGATATGATGGTCCATCGATGCGTTGCTTCATTTTCAGCTAGGTGGTCCATCAAGACTGCAGAGAAATATCGTGCAAAGTACGTCAAGTTGATTGGAAGTACTGATTGGACGAAGTTGTACGGTTTAGTGCTGTGGAATTGGAGCTTAAATCTAGGTTGGGTCCAGGTTTGCTAAATCAGGACAGCTGGAATATCTTGTGAAAGATGTCAATTGGATACTGTTTAGGGTACTGATTGGGCTAGGTTTATAGTTCACTACTGTCGAATTGGAGCTTAAATCTAGGTTAGGTCTAGGTTTGCTGGATAGTCCATCAGAACTGCAGGAATATCTTGCGAAAGATGTCAATTGGATACTGTTTAGGGTACTGATTGGGCTAGGTTTATAGTTCACTACTTGGAACTTAAATCTAGGTTAGGTCTAGGTTTGTTA